CGATTGATAGCTATAAAAGAGTATAAGCTTAACGAATTATAAAATGTATACTAATAGTTTATTATTAAAAGTAATTGTATAGTTATTAGCAATTGATCAAAAGTAAACAATATATATAGATTGTAATTTTAATTGCGCCGAATCAATTGTAACTTTTGTAACCTTTGTAACTTTTATAACTTAATAATTTTATATAATTATATATGCTAAGCCGATAGATTTAATAAAAGCGAAAATTTACTTATATTATAAAAGTTATATAAGTTATAGAAGTTACAAAAGTTATAGAAGTTACAAAAGTTACAAGAGTTATAAGAGTTATAAGTTACTTTATAAAATATAATATAGATATACTGCTATACCGACGAATACGGCAAGTATAAGAATTTAGCTAAGCACGGACCTTTTTAAAAAGTGAATTCGTTTATCACTTTTAAATATTTACTATAACTTAAATATTCTTTTTAACCTTAATATCAATATCAACATCAACTTTAACTTTAACTTTAACCTCAACTTTAACCTCAACCTCAACTTTAATTGCAGTTACAACTACGATTATAATTATATTAGCAATATGATCTCATTCCGCTAGCGCAACTTTCGAAACGGACTTTATACAAAGCGGGTAAGTCGGCCGGATCCGGCCTATAAGCGGCAAGTACAACTACTTCGCAAGCAGCAATAGCTGCTTTTACACCCCTTCCTCCTCTTTTAACAAGCCTTGCCTTTTGCTTTGCTTATTGCTTTAGTTAAGCCCGCGGTGTAAGTGATAAGTAATACATCTTAATTACTCACGCTAATATTATATATAAATTCAATTAAGACGACGACGATAATGATAAGATTGAGCTAATAATCTCTCGCTCTCTTTCTCTTTTTTCTTCTCTCTTTCATACCGTCCCCGCTGCTGCTTTACTTCTTCCTTTCTTTCTCTTTCTTGCTGCTATAAACTTAGCAATAAAAGAGGTTAAGAAAAAGGTAAAAAAAGATAAAATGATAAAAGATTCTAAGCCCGCAATATAAGTCATCTTAA